TCGGAAGGAGACCTCATTCCTCACCGTGGCTGAAAGAGAAAAATTGCAGAGTAAGCATTTTCCTGTACGGAGGCCTTAAGTTGTTGGTGTGTGCCGAAGGGGTTGGTGTGTGTGCTGTAGCTGTCTGAACTGGACATGATTCAGAGGCCCTTCTGGACCTCTAGTCTGTTGCTTTTTTTCTTCTAGTAAGCCATGGTAAATAATTATGTGCTTTGTTCAGCACATGGCACAGTGCATCCTTATTGCTTCCATAAGACAACTGCAAAATACTTGACCGAAAAAGTCATGTTCGACTACGTGGGGCTTTTGCAACTTTAAAAACATGCAATTCCACACCCTTGTGTGTCTGCAGTGCCTCTTAGCTTCCCAACTTTGTATTGATTGCATGGTTCATCCTCTCTGGCAAATCTGCCCGGGTTCCTACAATGGCTTTTCAGGTGTGAGGATGCCTCAGCCTCCTCCCTCTGCCTTCTTGGTGGTGGTGAAGTTTTTTCTGTTGGACTTTGGAAATATGCTTGGGTTATCCTCTGGGTTGATGAGGAGTCCTGTAGGTGGTGGACTGGCATCCTGTGTATCTGGGAACTCCACGAGCATGCAGAAGAACTGTGGCAATTTTTTTTCAAGGCACTGAGTAACATACAGGAATAAGTCACTGATACTTGATGTATCTAGTATCTTGGAAGAGCACCAAGAATTAAAAAAAAAATGATCTGACTGTAGGGTCTGTTTCAGATGAATATCTGAGTTCTTTTAAAGAGTAAACTTCTTGATTTATTAATTGCATGTCATTGATATCTGCAATTGCAAATCAGTCTAGTCTGGAAGGCACTTCTTGTGTCTTAGTACACTTTTTCCTGTGTGTGTGTAGTTGGAAGTTTGCAGGTATTTTTTTATACCCTGTTAAGATGTGGTCATTTTTTCTCTCTCTTCCATTTCACTGTGTTTAGGATGATTTTTCAGTTTTATTTGCTGCTAGATTTCCTGAGATGCAGTCTCAGCATTGCTGGTCTGAGCACAACATTCAGTGCTTCAGCTGTCTCTTAAAAAAAACCCCAGCACTAAACCCGACAGCACCCCCACTTACAACACCCAAAAGCTTCATCTGAAATATGTTCCCGCACTGTTGTGATTAGGAATTAAGGTCTACTTGATTTCTAGACATCTGTTTAAGTCTCACAACCAATATTGGACTAAATTTAGGAATTCTTTATTTTGTCTATCAGGTTTTCTTCTTCCCCTTCTCATTTTTTTCTTTTTTTTCCCCCTTTTTTTCTTTTAAGTGGTAATTTTGAAGTTTACTGCCACTTGGTACTTAAAATGCTGGTAGAAAAATAATCCCCTTGCCATCTTAGGAGAAGAAGTAATATAAGAGAATGTAGAAATAAAATTGAATAAAAACTTTGAAGGCCATCCAGGACACAAAGTTAGTTTCTTTGAAGATGTGGAAAATTACAGTTCAGTTGGAAACCTCAGTAAAAACCAGTTGGAAAGTATTGTTTATCAGAAGTGCTGACCAAATGTGAACTTCAGGTCAAGTTGCTGAATGCTGGATGATAGCTCCTGAAAACCATGCAGCAGGATTAGTAGTATAATGGAGCCAGAGACATCACTTTAGCTGAGTTTTGGGTGGGGGTTTTGTATCATGCAAATATGTGGGAATGTGTATGTGGTTGGTCCTGTGTGATGTGTTCTCAACACATACCTGTGAAAAATTTACCAAACTTTACTTGAAGCAGAGGTGCATGATTTGGGGATGTCTCATTAGTTGGAAATATGGGAATAAGGAAAGTGAAGAGGTAAAATAAAAACTGATTTCTTATTCACCCAGGTTGCACCCATCCTACGAGATCTTGAGTTATCTGAAAACTGTGAGCGCTTTTTCAAAGGCTATTGACTGTAGATGCAATTCTGGTTTTAAGGTTATTCTTTTCTTTAATGATGGATGCAGACTTGTCCAATTCAGTCATGTTGATTTGGAATCTCTTGAAGCTGAATAAGATCTTTACACATATTTCCTTCTGTTGGGTTTAGCTTGGCGTTGCTTGTTACTTCTACTTCTGTATAATAGTATAGGATTGCTTAGTTCACATTCAGCTTGTTTCCCACTTACTAAATGATTTGTTGTGATGGCTAATCTGCTGCTAATTTTATTGTAATGAAGAAAGAACCAGAAAAGTCTTCCTCCTGTGGAGCAGTAGTCTTTCTGGTGTCACATGAGATGAGTATAAGCCCTTCTGGTCACGTGTGGCTCTTAAGTGTCTTGCTTCTGATCGCTTTTCATCTGTGAAGCTGTTTTTAGCCAGGCATGCTTATCCCAGCAGCTTTGAAGAGTGTGGAAGATAAGTTGATATGAGCTGCTAAAGGACATGGTGGGCTGGTTTTACAAATATACTAAGGAAGGGGTGGAAGTTAGAGGCGCCAAGAAAAATGTTTCTGGGGATTCTTTGGAGATGCCTCTGTGTACGTAGGTTGTCTGGGTAGGACAGAGTAAAGAAAAATCTCTGATGTGAAATCAATCCTGGTGGAAACCTTCGGGTGTCCTAAAGAAATGAGCTTCCTTATGGCCAAAATTCATATGGGAACAGAGGGACCTATTTTTTTTTTTTCTCTGACAAATTAAGGTAGAGAAGAACACCTGTGCTTGGAGTGTTATCTTCTAAATAAAATTTTTAATTAATCTTTTGACCTGTACCTCCCCAGTTGCTGCACCTCGCAGGACGTAGAATAGTACAGTTCAGGCCTTATTGAACATTGTTATGGCAAGTGTTAATTTTATTTCAGCTGCAAAGCATCACTCCATGCAATGCAGTATTTGCCTTTATTGAGCATTAGAGTTTTATACAAATGTTGTCCTAATATTGCTAGAGTTACGGTCATCCTAGAAAGATGTGACAATTGAATCTTTGTCAGGGTTAGGAAACAGGATTTACAATACAAGGCTTGAGGAACTTAATATCTTTGATTTATCAAGGAAGAGGATTGTGACCCTTACTTCTCTGGATGTCTGTTAGAAAATACTGATAGTAGCTACTGTTTTAATATAAGCAGCCAAAGGCTTGATAAGATGAAATGGCACAGGTCAAAGCTGGCTAAAGGCATGGGAGTGGAGGTAATGAGCTACTGGAACAATCCATCAAGATTTGTGGTGGACATTGCATCATCCATAAAAAACCTTTAAAATCAGAATGACTTGTTTTTTCTAAAAGCCTTATGTTCCAGTTCAGCCACAACTACTGACCTTGAAGTAGCTGTTAATTAGTGGATGACTTCTCATCTGTGTTGTTCAAGATCTCAGACTAACCGACTGCTGTGATCTCTTAAAATTTTATGCCTATAGGAATAATAGATTCAGACTTCGTGTTTTTCTTCTTGTGGCAAAGACCAAATTGAAAAAAAAAGAAGAGTTTAAAGAAAAAATAAGCTGAACACAGCTCCAGCAGCCAAGGATTTTTGGTGTTCCGATTTTGACTCTGATAGCACTCGTTGTGTGGCCTTGGGCAAGTTATTAATCCACATGTGCCTCGGTTTGCCAGTTTGTCGGATCCGGATAACTTCACTCACCTAATAGGATGATGTGTTTTTAACATGTCGTTAATGTAAATGTGGAACAATTACAAGCTTTTTATTGTTATTTTATTTATGACGAAGAATATTTGTATTTAGAGTAGATGCCCATTTTCCAGACCTACTTCGTTTAACTCCTGGGAGATGTTTTGACTCTTCAAAAGAGGATTTTTCTTGACTTGGGGCCACTGCTGTGGTACTCTGTCCCGCCAAGTTCAATGTTCTTCTGGATAGAATAAAAAGTGTTTATGGATTTTGATGAAACTTGAAAATTCTTGGATTGTTAAACTTGCTGTGTTATGGGAAAATGAATCAAGTTCTGACTCATGGAAGAGGACTGACCTTGGGGGGAGAGGGCAGCATCGTACGCACCACAGTGTGGCTTACTAGGAAAGTATTTCTTTGGTTCACTCTGGCATATATTCGTTCTTGTTGAATTATTACTGTTGCCTGGTTTCACATGGTACCATTAAAGATGAGACATTACATTTGTGCCCTTGTCTGAATTTTCACTCTTTGTTACTCTATATATTTGCGCACATTTCATTCGCCCCAAACAAACCATTTTGAGGCTTAAGGGTTGTCTGCTCACTCTCAGTGCGGGCCAAGGTGATTGGGCAGCTTAAAGGGCAACAGTTTTTTTTTATAGGAAAAGTTCATTTTAAGCAAGAAGATTACTAATTACCTTTAAATGGTCACAAAACGTGAGAGGACAACAGACTAAACCCAGGTAGGGCACAATGGGTGTTAAGTCGTCCCCAGATATATTTACTAAAGGTAGTGAAATAACTCAAGGTCCAACGCTGTTGATTTTCTCATCCCATAGGCTTTGAAAACTTGGCATTTCTGCAATACTAGTTGAATGATTTTGTTACCTAACAGAGCTCTTAAGAGAAATCTCTTCCTTGCTCCTTCTCCCTTCTGGTCCATGTGCTGTGTTGATCCATTCTGGAGGCCCATGCTTTGTTTAATTTGTAGATGGGTACTAATGGATCTCCGTGGTCCTTGAAGAGCTGGGCAACTCATTTTGTCAATTGTAGCTCTGCACCAGCTGCTTTCCCGGACACTCAAGTCATGCTCTACTCTCATCTCTAGTGACTGTACATCCTTCAGCTTTCACAACTCTCTTGGGTCCCAGGTGGATACTTCACCTTTCTGTCCCTCCTAACCTTTCGGTCTTTTCTGATTGTGTCCCCTGACCAGTTCTTCCAAGTATATCAGTTGTGGATTTAATTTCCCATATTGCCCAGGACTTAAAATTCCCTTGAAGTTTGTTGTCTTCAGTTGTGCATATACCTTAATTTGGTGTCATTGGCAGGTTTCTGTGCTGTTTAATTCTACTCTTCATGAATTTTTGTTGCCTGTCTGCTCTCTGTCTTCTCTGCTTTGTTGTTGTTGCCTCTTCTTTTTAATGTTTTTTTCCTTCGTTTCCTAAGGATTGCAGATACAATCAGTGGAAAATAATTGCCAAGATATTCTTCAGTCTTCTGCTCTCTCCAAATGTTAAGGTACCTTGCACTTGATGTGTCTGTTCACTTACTCACTCTCTTTGATAGTAACATGGACCTAATTTCTAGTCTACCTTTGGGTTTCTTTGAAATACTCTTGATTGATTTGGTGCTGCTAAATTGCAAACCCAAGTTCCCTGGCTGAGTACTTACAGTTCACTAACCTTTGCTGCAGTGGAAGAAAACAGTCAAGTTCTGCTTACTGAAGTAAAACCTCCAAATTTTCCCATCTGGTCTTCTGCTGAGGTATAAAACAAGCAGTTTTTCACCAGCCTTCTTGAATTTGGACACCAGAACTAAATCCTGTATATTAGAAGTCATGACAAAACTTCCATGCTTGTACCTCTGAATTGTACTATCTACTGACCTAAAAATGGCTTTCTATCCCACCTGCCATCTCATGGCATAGTAATGCAAGAGGATGACTGTTTTGCGTGTCTGTGACATGATGACTGCCCTTAGCAGCGCGGAATGAGATACTATTGAACAAATCGTTGCCGATTCTGCATTTCCACAGGAAAAAATATACCCCTTCCTTTTGCTAGAGGAAGAATCCATTGAACTGTTTTCACTTAATGTGCTTAAAAAAAAGAAATCACTCATAATATTAACTCAACCAGCCATTGATTTCTTCATGTATCCTCTTGCTTCCCATATCAGCTATCTACACATCCTAACACCAGATTTTCGTTTGTCAGCTTGAGCATTTTCCCTTTATTCCATTTGTCGGGTTCCCTCTTTCTTTCTTTTTATAGCCTCCTTAACTTCCGTCTGAGCCAGGTTGCCTTTTAACTAGTGTGGCTGCCTTTTTCAGTTGTGGGATTGTGGCTTTTGGAGCATCTAGTTAAAATGTTCTTAAACAATTTTCAATTAGTCTTCATATTTTTCTGATTACGTTCTTTTTCCCAACTGATTTAGCTCGTAATTGTTTTCAGCTTGATGAAACTGTCCCTTTTAAAAAGTGTGTGTGTGTGTATATATGTGTGTGTTATGCATACATGTGTATATATGTGTAGTTTTGGTAGTGCTATTTTACTCCTAATTTAGATGTTTTTTGTGGTGCATATAAAGTTGTGATCAAATTATGGTGACTTGCATTTTAGCTATCAAAAAAGTGGGATAAAACATGGCTGCTGGCTAAAAGCTCTTTCTTTTTCCAAATGGGCACTAAGAGAGAGGATACTGATTTAGGGGTTTATTGGCATTTAGCAGATGGTGCTTGTGTAGTGAAGAGGGATCATCTCCAGCCCTTTGATGTCTGAACACAGCTCCTGCTGAACTTACTGTGTGGTGTGTTATATCCCCAAGGTTAGCACTGCATTAGCTTGGGATAAAACGTTGCCTTCACACTGGCTTTGGAAGTGCTGTGGGGTCCATGTCAGAGTGGTGGGCATGAGTTTCCAAGGGAGACAGGAGAAAACGGTGTTGCCTCGTGTGTGCTCTGCAAAGCTGGTGGAGGAGGCAGTGCCTGTAGAGGGAAGGTGGAGATTTCGTGTGAATGAACTGCGAAAGTGGAGGAAAGCCCAGATTACTGTGGAAGAGCAAGGCAATATAATCGCAGGCTGGTCCAAGATCAGTTAGTGTCACTTGCAGATCTTTCCTGTGACCTTTTACAGCAACATGAAACTAGGCTGGGATAGCATTTGTGGTTGAGCAAGCAGAAGGAGGGCTGCGAGGGCAGAGGTGAGGCAGGGAAACTGTATGGGAGAACCAACATGCAACAGCCACCCGTAGGAGAAGGACCTGAACTTCTCCTCCAGCAGTGGAACCCCAATGAGATGTCCTGCCCCAAGCCAGCATTTCTTCCTGGAGCTATGCAGTACAGATAACTCTGGCTGGATCAAGCCTGCAGCATTGGGGATGCATTTGGAGGCTCTGATGGGAGGGACCATCCCAGATTACCCCCCAGCTGACCTTTTCCTTGAGCTGGATGGAAATGATCAGTGCTCTGAATGTAAATGATCAGCAGTTGGGCTCCATCTGCAGCTGGTTAATTACCCGTTCACACAATATGTTGTTAGGGGTCATCTGGTTCCAGTTTCACCATAAACAGAAGTAAATGTTGGGAACATACTTTTCTACATCCAGTTTCACTTGTTGTGGATACTTGAAATAGTTTGCAACCCACATCTTTTGGTTTTCGAGGAGGGCTTTTGGCCACAGCACCCTGCGACCATTTGAGCTTTTTTTTTTTTTCCCCTTAAAAAGTGCCCTGGAGGTTGCATTGTAGGGACTTTCCTTATGCAAAACATAAAAGTGGTGTTTTTTAAAATTATAACCATATTTTTCATTAAAATCAGTTGGAGTCCCAATAAACAATTGACTCCGAAAATTTTCCAAATGTTTGCTGCAGTGCTGTTTCTATTTTTAATTATTTTTTAAAAAAGTGTTTTTCTTAAAAACACAGCTTGGTTTATAATTTAAAGAAGCAATCTAGTAAATCAGAAAAAATGCTCTAGTATATATCTCTTTATTGCAATATAATTAAAACCTACTGTACATTTGAATGTAAGAATACTTCTGTAGCGGTGTCCGATGATTCCTGCCACTTGGCTTATTGTGGGAACTTTTTTTGTTACCAATTCTCCTCAAAGACTCTTCCAGTGTATTTATACATTTGTTTTATATAAATTGAGAGCTGTGTGCGTATAGAGGGAGACGTTCAAAACTCAGTGAGACACAGAAATGCCTAGTTCATAGTACTAAGGCACAGTTTCCACACTGCATCAGTCCTTGGTATTATTATTTGTAGTTCTTATTCACAGTTTTAGTCATTGGCTTGTTACCTGGTGCAAGATTTGTTTGTTGTCATTAAAAACAAAAAAAGAACTAAAGAACAAACCCAGGTTTTGCATCAAAATTTGTCATGTCTGCTTTATAGAAACAAGTAAAGGTGTCTTTGTAAGATATGTAGAGTTAAATTTTTTTGTTGCAATCTAGTGCAAGCTGGAGATTGAAGAGTGTTGGAGGATATTCTGACACAGTTTCTGTAAAATGCCATGTGTCCAATGCAAATATTTCTTTCTAGAAAGAAGTCGGGTTCTGGGAGAAAACCATGGTAATGGGGAACCTCTCTCTGCTGCAAGCAAACATGGGGTGAGAGGAGGAAATTTGGAGTTTACCCATCTTTCTTCTGCTTTAACCTTTTCCACCAATCACTGCTGTGCCTGCTCAGCTCTGGGGCTGAGCCAGGAAACCTGTTTCAGCTGATCTTAACTGCTGGGGCAGGCAGGTTGGCTGGTTAGACATCAAGCTTTTGCCAGATGCATGGGATGTAGAGGCTGAATTGAAGGACTTGCTTGATAGGAGTCTGTCAAAGATAGCAGCTGAGCCTGTGGATTTGTTAATTTTTCTTATCTATGGACACTGACAACCTTTGCAAAGCTGCTAGCTAATAGTGGTCGCGCTTCTGGGTGCAAAGCTTCTGTCACGTGTTTCACGTGGTTCAAATCATCCTGTGAAATCAAGCAAGCAGTTCAGTGCTGGGCTTTGGCTCAGTGGAGTGGAGGATACCCAAGCTGACAGCTTCACCATAGGAAATTGCTCTCTTGCTTGTTGCCTCCAAAGGCAAGGAGAGAGGAGAAAGTTAATCTACTGAAGTAGTTTCCATGTTGCTTGAAGCCTGCTACACTTCTAGTGAATGTGATTCTAGCTGTGAGTGCTGATCGGGTAAATCCACATAATAGTTTTGCTTTTAATCTGTTCCAGGGTCATTTCTCTTGTGAGACGCGTTTGACAGCAATTGAAAATGTCTGTTTTTCAGGGGCCTCTTGGACATTCAGCTGCAGCACACAGCAGATGCAATGCTTGCAGATAAGGATATGAAATTTTTACTTGATGTTAACATGTTTTCATGTTTCTTGAGGGACATGAACAGTAAAGTGGGATTCTTGGTCTCAGTCCTCAGCTGGATGCAACATGTTTCAACTTGCATTTGGATCTCTTTGCTTTTAAGAATGGTGGCTTTAATCTACTTAGAAAGCATCTGTAATTATCAAAAAATACTTATTAACGTGTGAATGGGTGAGGGTCCAGCATCATCAATTTTGGTTTTCTGCTGAGGACCAAATCCCCTTTGTAATAGGAAATGTTTTGGGTTGGTTCAAATACAGTATGCATAACTTCCCATACCTCTTAATGCCTGGTCTTGCTGGGGGCCAGTAGGTCTGCAGGAATTTTTGTGGTTTTCCCAGAGTCTTCTTGCCACCTATACCTGTTGCTTTAGCCAGGCTAAGCTGCCTCTGGCTATAAATGCATAGAAGGAATTGTGCCCTAGTCCTCTCCTTTAAAAAGACGACTGCTTTTCTTGGGTGATCTTGCCAAGCAGTGTTATCTTTCTCGCGACTTCTTAAATCCTTGGCACTGAAAATTTTCACTAGACCTCCCACAAGGATTTTGTGTCAGAGCCACTGAAATGCCTTTTTTGGTGGCTCCATTTGAAAGATGAATGGTTTTCTGAAGTTTGCATGAGCAATAGTTTGGTGACTTCTTAGAATCTGAACTGCCTTAACTTCTTTGCCTTTCCTTTTATTGTTTTTCGTCTAGAGCCTTTACAGTAGGCATTCTTGACAAAGCTGGTGATGAAATCTCTGCTGAGAGCCCTACAGAAGAGCAGAGCCATTTTGCTAAAAGGGCTTGGGAGGAACCTGAGCTGGCTTTTATGTTGAGATTGGTATCTCTTTCAACGCGCCTTCATTACTTGTTGCTGAGTTATTAATCATGTTTTGCTGAGGAGACTGAACAATTTTGTAAGAACTTCGTGATGCTCAGTATCCGTTTTGCATTTTTGCTGTTGACTTTTGTAGAGGATAAGCATCCATCAAGAGAGCTACAATTTATCATTGCTTCATGAAAAAGGGCAGTAGCATTGTTAAAACCCAATGGGAACCCTTTGGTACTAAGAGCCTTCAGGGATAAATGCAAATTTATACTGGCTTTTAAGACAGACATAACACAGAAGTCCCTTTTAAATCAGAAGATGGAAAGATTGTTTTATCTTT